CTCCATAATAGTTAGTTATTTTAAATTGCGTGTCAATAGGAATATTTTGCATTATAGAGGCATCAATCCATTCATTTTCTTGAAACTCATTGGACGTAGGGGGGAGGTGGTTCTTGAACATAATATATTCATTGTTAGAATAAGAATGGTCAATCCATCAAGGGTCTATGTCATTCAGATCTTTTGTTATCACATGTCCATAGTTATTAATTTGCAAGCTTCCTTCATCATCATCATCTGAGGGGTCATCACTCACATCCTTTGCTTGTTGGGAATCATCATCATTGCAGGCATTTGATGTCCCTACTGGAATAGTAATAACATGCCCTTGAACACCCAATATATTTATGTAATATTTTTGAATATTAATAAAGATTTTACTATTGTATACATAATTTGGGTATCATTTCTATAAATGTAATAATATCCTTAAAAATTATTATGTTAGATCATGCACTGTTATAGTCACTTATTTGAAGATGTAATCTAACTTAGAATTTTTTTTAAAATCCATGCTTATAATTAGTAAATGATAACTTTGTTGTAACATGTTATTATTCATGATACCAACATGCGAGATGTGGTGGTGGGTCTTAACCATATGGAATAGGAATTTCCTGGGTGCATGTCATAAGCATGCATTGTGATGTGTGTAGTACTCGACCGAAGTTGGATTCTCTAGGCCTTTGGTTTTGTTGATAGCTAGCTTTAGACCTAAAGGACTAAAGGAATAGTTAGTTTAACCAAAAAAACATATCATGATGAGGTATGTGGGCCGTAGCCGAGTCGTGCAGTTGTGGGTCAGGCCTAAATCTCTGGCCTCGGGTTAGGGTATAGACCCTAGTCCGACCCGTGACCAGTATATCTTAGGTCGCGGTCCGGATTGGCCATTATGGTGTCGCCACCGGTCGTGATCATGCGTGCTGGGCCGGAGTCAGTCCGAGGGTTGACTCTGACTTAAGACAACCTATGCGTCGATGTAATTGGTTTAGAGAATTTATTTGACTGTAGAGGCTGTTGCAAAATTTAATTTTCATTAAAAACAACAAGTTTTATTTTTGGGAATATATATATTATATATATATCTCTATATATGTATATATATATATATATATATATCTATATATATATGTGTGTGTGTGTGTGTGTGTGTGTGTGTGCGCGCGCGCGCGCGCGCGCGCACGTACGCACGCGTGCATGACGTACATACATACATACAAAGTAAAGTCCCTATAAACTTAAATGGATAGAGATACTTCTCCACCAACCTTTTTATCCATTAGATTTACTTTGAGATTTGTGCAAAACATGAAGAATATCTTTGAGATGTGTGCATTGATTTGCATCACTTACTAGTACAAATCTTAAAGCAAATCTAATGGATTAAAAAGTTTGTAGACAAGTGCATCTATCCACTTAAGCTTATAGGAGCTTTACTCTACACACGCACATACATATACCAGTTTTTATGTTAGTTCAATGCACGTGGTTAACTATCAATATTATTAATTTTTTTTCTTTATTTTCTTATTATAGATCAGTCATATACATTTTGAGTCCAAATATGTAAACCTGGATTATTATATTTGCCATAATTTTTTTAAATATTTTAAAAATTTTGATGAAATGGATTTGTGTGTTAAACTATGATCAATATACTTTTATGTAATTGGATACACAATATTTTAAAATATACTTTTATGTAATTGAAGATCACTGATCTTCAATTTGTTTATTTTAGTTATTAAATGTTGTGTTAAATATGAAGAACAATACAATAATAGTAAGATGATTCGTATAAGCTCAGCACAACACACATACTTTCCTCCAGAATGCAAGAGATCTTAATTATTGATAGACTTAAAATAAAGAAGATAAAAAGTAAAGATCAATGGTAACTCTAATATAATTTTATATAATAAAAGCATTTATACAAGCATATAAAAATTTGCATGAAAAATTCCTTCTAAAGTTTCCTAATTTTACTCAAAAAATTAAGCTATAATATAAAATATTTATTGTTATTTATTCCTTTCTTTTCATAACTTAATTGAGATAAGATCAATCCTTCTCCATAATTTTTTTTGGTAATTCTAGAGTAGTATCTCTATCATCTATGTCAACTAAAGCTTGATTTCTTGTGCTATCATATTTCATTTGGCTCGTTCATTTTTTGTCTTCTCATCTAACTATGTTAGGATTTGAATGTCTTTCTGATTTTCAGCACATACTTTTAAAAATATGCACTCTTAATTATTATAATGTTTCAATGAGAATAAAGATTAATTTCATATATATGAATATTTTTCTCATTTTCTAATTTATTACTTAAACAGCGTTAGGAATTAGCTCTTATTTCTCTGTACTGATTTCTTTTGCTATGCATCCGATTAGAGTTTTTGCTGAATCAAACAAAGTCATTCATTGTATATGAAAAAGAAAAAATGTCAATTTTAGTTTTTTCCTTACGCTATTGAAAAAAAGTATCATATATACCTTTTATCTATTATCGTCATTCCCCTCCTATTGTCTAGTTTGTTATATTTCATAACATAGCTGATCACCAACTTCACGTTAGTTGCTATGACAAGAATATCTACGTACAATTTTATAATTAGTTTATGATAATACAAATTTATATTTTAGTTTGTATTAAAGATTAAAGTATGAAATTTTATAAGTACTTACTATTTTTTTTGCATCTTCCATTGAAAATGCTTCTTTGATTGGGACAAAGATATTTAATATGTTCTCTAATTGGAACTCAGTTGTTGCTTCTTTGATAGATATGTCTTTTGTTAATGTTAAGTCAAGTGATCCGTGGATATTTGTAAAATCAGGGTTAATTCCTTTCACTTCTCCATTTGAAATCAAAATAACTTGATTTTTTAAAGCACATATATAAACTTTTTGATAGTCTCTCCGTACATAACTCCTTGTATTTTAGTAACTGTAAATATTATTAACATCAGAGATCAATGTTTTTAAAATATAATTAATTAATTCTAAGCTATATATTATTTTTTATTTGGTTATATGTAAAATAGTCTTCAATTAACTAATGCTACTTGTGTATTTTTGCTACTCAAAGTTATGAGTAAAATTATGTTCATTTATATTTTAATTTATATAGTCCTTCTAATTTTTAACCTATTAATATATTTTTATAAATTTTACATCTTAAGGGGATATTTTTAATCTAATAATTATTGCTTTTTTACCTACAACAACTTAGATTATTATAAGTTGTTGAGAAGATCTAGTAAAATGTTAAATTGAAAGCTAAATTTACATATCTTAATAAAAGAATATAAAATAATTTCTCTTTTATTTGTAAAGTTTTCAAATTTTAGGGGTTTTGTTTGATTTTGAACTTTTAAAGTGTTGTCTCTAAAATTTTTAGGAACTTGGAGTGCATTTTTATATAAATTTTAAATTTTCAGTTGGTCGCTACTAATTTCCATATTTCATATATTGGTGCTAAATTTTTATAATTTTTAGATACTTGTAGGTCTAAATTGTTGATGTTGAAATTTTGAAACTTTGGGTTACTTTTTGTAAAATTAATATTTTTAGGGGACTTTTGATAAAATTTTCCAATTTTTTTGTGTATAGGATGTAACTTTTGAAATTTTAGGTTTGTTTGCGATTTTAAATTTTTGAGGGTTTCTTTGCATCTTTTGAAACTTTGTGCCTTTTTTTATTACAATTTTCAAAAGAATAAACTATAAATAGAGTTTTATTTAGATAACTATTGTAATTCAAATTCAAAATATATAATAATCGTGGATAATTCATTTGAAAGCACTCCTCATGAACTTGGATTTCTATTTACTATAGTAAGAGAATAAAAACAAAATAATTAGGAATTGAAATAGATATTATCTATCTATATAAATAAAACCTACATATTCATGCGCCGATAATCATTTTTCCTTTTTTATCAAATTCTGACTATTTTTCAGATAACTGATTACAAAGGATTATAGTTCATGGCTAAAAAAAACAACCTATAATTAGTTCAAGTGGGATGAGTTTAGGGTAAGAAAAATATAATATTGTTATATTGAGTTTTAAATTTAAATTGTCGAGCTAAGGGATAGGACGAATACGGTGTTGTTGTAATGATAGTGATTTTAAATTATTGATTCATGTAAGATTATTGTAGAATTATTGAGATTAGGATAGGTTATGATTAAAATGTAATATTCAATATGGTGAAGAGTAATATTGATCGTGAAAAGATTTTCCTGAACTCGTACTTTTAAATGGAGTATGATATGAGATGTGTGTGTGTTTTTTGGAAGAAAGGATAAGGTCTCAAACTCGAAAACCTCAACCAAATATTATATACGAAAGGATAATTTACAAAAAAAGAAAACTGAGTTTCCTAACTCCAAAAGTGACCTAGGAATTAATAGAACCAACTCCCCAAGAAAGTAATGACGTTTACAAAATATTCCCACAAATTAACTCGTCGAAATCTTTGCATACTTGCGTTTATGATAAGCATGAAATATAATATATTAATACTAAGCAGTCATTGACTCATTGATCTCTCATGCGCTTACCATCCCAATTTTCATGGTATTGATTTGTAGCTGAAAAAACTCTCTGAATAGGCGAAGGGCAAAAGCAATATGCAACTTTACAAGCATTTTAAATAAAGGGATGGACCGCATTTTGTCCGCCATCTCCGTCACAACCATCGTAGTCATCTTTAGTTTGCCCAACTTGTTGCCACCGGTGGGACCCACCATCTCTGTAGCTATGATCTTCACCGCCGGGTTAAGCTTTTATCAGTCTCAAAATTTAACATACGCAACCAAAAAACTTCATACAGAAAACAGAAAGGACATAACTTGAGATCCATGCGAAGATAATTAATTAATACCCAACAAACAAGTGCAACTAATCAACAAATTACATTTACCCCCATAAGCAGCAAATAAGAATAATAAAATATGGGAGCAATGAAACACCACATTAATCCTTTATTGAAGGGGGAAATAACGGCAAGATACGTTCACATAGAAAGCAATAAACGCTCTCGTGATAAATATAGAGCTACATACACGATAAGTTTCAATATAGAGCAACATTCAGCCTAATAAAATTAGATGCCTGCAAACTTATCAAGCAGGTCCTCAGCAAAATCATGCGCTTTACAATATTGGCGAAATTCCTTAAAACGAAATGGCTTGAAACGAAGAGGGTGGTCTTCATCAATGAGCCCACGAGGCGTCTCTACAGTCTGATCTAGCTTAGGACGTAGGAACAAACCGCAAGATTTCCGAACCTTATAGCCCTTGAAGGTCACCTTATGTAGACAACCGTGAATACGACCATTACTCCAAGCCTACACCATGAAATCAATTTAATTAGCAAACCTTTTCTTATGCTAAGTTTTGAGTTGAGTTCACTCTCAAATTTACTACTACCCAATTTTGAAGTCCACTATAAACATTATTAACGCTTTTAATGGCTAGCTATAATTTATCTTGACGGAAAAGTATATAAACAATGTAATTTATAGATGTAAGGCGCCAAATTTTCCTTGAAATATTGTACAATGTAAAAGAGAGTATGTGTGTAGTTCGAATGTGAGTTCCCATAACATAGAACCCAAAAGTAACAAGTTTAATGTATTAAACATAAGTTATAAGCCTATTCCTAAGAACTTTGCACATTTTCCCTGAGGATTATAAATGCAAAAAATAAAATATTTATATTTGTACTCAGCTCCTACAAAGACAACTCTATTCCCAGGGTTCCTTTTTTCTAATATCTGAAATGTCTAGATCACAAGTTCCACTTCAAAGCTAAAAAACCTAGCACACTGCAGGAAATCAGCCTGACAATCCAGATGAGTGATCCTCACTTGCTAGTTTCCTCGACATTCTATGTTTTTTCAGTGTTTTCATTTGATTACATGCAAAACACTAATTCTTTTTTTTTTTTGGTCAATGAAAATTTCATTCATCTTCCAAATATGAAAATTTCAGTACATCACTGCTCAGTTTTTTTTTTTGGTCAATGAAAATTTCATTCATCTTCCAAATATGAAAATTTCAGTACATCACTGCTCAGTTAGAAAACTGAGAATACACTAATAGCATTCATCTTCCAAATATGAAAATTTCAGTACATCACTGCTCAGTTAGAAAACTGAGAATACACTAATAGCCAACAGCTTACAACCTCAAGTAGTTATAAAGTACAGATCCATTCCTTATCATCTGTCGAGAAAGATCCATTGAGTGCAAAACACTAATTCTCTCCTCAGACCATCTATAAAGATTGATTCTGTAGATGTTCTCGAGTTAGGTCTACATTGTTCTCATTAAGATCTTATGTTTTGATATGTGAAACCCTAAAATCAAACACGACGTACAATTTAAACTATACATTAATTAAAATCATAAATTTCCTCGCACAAAAACACTAAAATCATGGGACATGTGATGGAAACCCAGAATTTACATTATATTCTGGAATAAGTATGGTTCTAAAAGTGTCCTACAAAAATGTGCACACAATTTGGTCAAAGGATCAGCAAGGAACGACGACAAGTAGAAGATCATCAAGCAGCAACAGTTGCGAGCTTAGTTAACTCAGTTGACTCTGAGCGTGTCAATCAAAGTCACGGCATAAATCCCACTCGACTAAGCTAAACCCGTTGGCTAGGCAAGCACCTCAATATCAGCAGATGCCCAACGCATACAGTTGTATGTTTCCTACGCTATAAGTATGATCCAACTTAGTTTAGAGCTTATGATTGATCCAGAGGCTGATCTCCTACTTAGACGAGGTTGATAGTATCTTCCTAGATATGGTTCCATATTTATTGGACCGTGACTAGGGCACATTACATGTACAACCTAATAAACGACGTGGGTTAAAGGGGGAATAAGTGAGAGTGTATCATCCTCTTGAGGACTTAGTGTTGCCCATGGTAACTTCGCAAAAAAGGAGGAACTATCATTTTTCCATCTTAAGCAAATTAAATACTTCCTTGCTTTGTCTGATTAAGAATGTAACGAAAGCTAAACATAAATGTAACATCGACAAAACACAACGTATAGACACAATTATCTCGTTGCAACTTATACTTATTTGTGGATTCCATTTCATTTCTTGCCTTTTTTTTAAATTATTATAAAGATAAGATATTATTTGTACAGCTAACTCATTTTTTCCGTCTGCTTTTATCTTATCATTCGCTTAGACAACTGTCTAATGCTTTATAATAATAAAAAATAAAATAAAAATAATATCTCTTTTTTTTTTATAAAGATAAGATATTATGGACCTGTGTGTCAGGTACTGTATTGAAGTTAACAACATATGCTGACTTGCATATCTGAACAAGTAGCTTTTTTGGAAGTAGTTTAGCTTAGCTTTCTCTCTGAGACATTTATAGCAATTTTATTTCCAAAAGAGATTTTTATCTAGACTGCTTGCATGTGAGTCGAACTATTCCGTTTCCTTTATTTATCAACGCTGGAATTGTCTCCTGAGCAATTATTAGTGATTATGTTATGATTTGAGCTTTCGCAAATATATTTGCTATTTTAATTTGTGATGATGACTTTTAGATTGATAATTAGTGAATGATTTTGAATGGATAAAACACGCTTACAAGTATTTATGGGGAGCATCACTTTGTCTTGGTATATATTCTGCTGGCCTGATCAAGTCTCGGCTTATATTCTGTCTCCGGGTGTGACAATAAGATTTGAAGCCATTAAAAATTAGTGGAGACCATTACTCCAATCATATTCATTTCTTTAAAATTGAAATTTTTTAATTCATTCTAAGTCTAATGCTTTTTATGGACCAGTTTAATATTGTTAAGAGTTGCTTATACAAGAAATAACTTAAATAAGCTGGTGAAAATTGTTATTTGGTAGTCTTATACCTTAAGCTGCTTCCAACAGAAACTAAAGTATTTTCTAAAATTGTGCTCACAGATCATTATGAGTGAAATGACAAAACTAAAAGGTATCTTAGCTACCAATTTATTGATAGAAAAAACAACAAAAAAATCAGCAGTTGCTTTTATTAGCATCCTCAGGTTGCTTTTATTAGCATCCTCAGGTTGCTTTTAAAGCAGCCACTTAAAAGCAACAACAATTTCAATAAGCATGCAGGCAAAATTTAGCAAAAATCCTTAAACATAATAAGCATCTATCTGGAGAAAACCCTTCTAAATTAAAGCATTAAGCATCAAATAAAAAGGATAAACGATTTTTTGTCTCACCGTAAGTAAGAAGCCAGCTAAAACGATGAAAGTGTTCTTTTTAAGGATAACTCGATGCCATTCGCCCTTTGAAGATTTGGTGAAGAGCCCATCCACATCGTTCTCACATAGTATAGTAATAAAAGTGCCATCAATATGCTCTGAAAGCCCTTTAGTAGGCTCATCGGTCATGGGAGCTGAATATCTAACCATGCCGAAGCCTATTTCTGTGGGATCAACATTAGAGTCACAGTATTCGCCGAGCCCGTAACTCTGAAAGATCATCTTCTTCAGTACAAGAGCCATTTCTCCCATCTTCTTGTTCATTGACTGTAAGGCTTGGCTAAAAGACCAAATAGAAAACCACATGGGTACGTATAAGACGAGAGTATATACATATATATGTATAGACAAACAAAATAGGGAGAAAACTCTTGCGTGATTTAGCTCATGGAACATCATATACTTTTGAGCCCGAAGGTAATTTCTGCTTAGCTTCAATTCCTACTTACCCTTGAAACTATAGAATGTCTCTGCTTAGCTTATTCGCCGGTCTGTTTCTCGTCTCGTGTACCTTGCTCCTTAAAACTATTAAATTCGCCTCTGATTGCTTCTGAGCTATATATTTTCAGTCTCACCTCACTCCCAAACGATCACTCTCCCCTCATGAATCCATTCAAAACACTCACATAGCAATAAACGAGAAGCGGTAACTTTGTATTGAAACTTACGCATAAACCATCATTAAGGGCCTGTTTGGATTTGTAGGGGATGAAGGAAAGTTAAGGGAAACTGAGTGAAGGGAAGGGAAGAGAAGGGAATTTCCTTCCCCTTGGTTACACCCCAATTTGGGTAACAATTTTTATACTATTAGGAGGTGAACCAAGGAGAACTAGGGTGAATTAACTTCGCCTCCTAAGTGTTCTCAAACAATGTGAATGGAGGTGAATGGTTCCCCTAACTTCCCTTCACCCTCATTCCCCTCAATCCAAACAAACCCGAAAGGTTTTTTTCCACCCGCAATCAACCGTCTGAACCCACTTTTTAGTTAAGTTTTTTTGGGTAATCGCCCCCACCTACGTAACCTCAGTTAAGGATCATCTCTTCTAGTATGGTTGGTATTTGACAGCTAACTATTACGGCAAAACCAGGAAAAAAAAAGCTTAATTTAAAAAATGAGTGCGATCGAGTAGTTCATTGCAACGATAAGCTGTTTAATTACAGGTGATTTACGTATAAATAGACAATAAAATGTGGTCTCTGTAGAATAACCCTATTTTGTTCCAGGGAAAACTCCCCCTTCTCTGAAACTCTCCCGTATATTTGTACTATCACAAGAACAACTAAGTTTATTTGACAGCTCACCAGAACTTGTCGTTGCCATCGGGCCACAGTATGTCCGTCAGGGCCTGAGCGGTCTCGGGTTCCTGCAGGCCCACGGCACCAAACACCTGCTGCAGCGGCGCGTCCGGGGTTTGCCCGGGCAGCACCAGGCTTGACTGCGGCGTTCCCTCGGCCGCCTTGCGCTTGGCCTCGGCCGGGAGAGCAAACAGGGGCTCCATCTCCTCGAACATGGCCTCCCGCAGCTCGCGGGAGACGGAGTCATAGTCCACCAAGAAGCAGCCGTAGGTCTCCAGGGCTTGGCGGATGTCCCGGGATGTGGCCTCCCATTGAGGAGTCCCTGGCTCCAGAGCCTTTGGATCCTTGGTGAGATCAATGTGGGTTCCTTTGGACCCACCCTTTTTCTAGGAGGAAGAAAAAGGCAGTCTTGCCTTTGTACTCTAGCGCCGTGGCTGATGACTCGTATCTTTTATTATAAAACTCAATAATGAAGGCCATTATCAAATTTCAAATTTTTTGTATGCGTTGTACTACTAATGGTTACATATATATGTATTAAACTCCTAGGGGTGTAGATTCCAAATTGAAATATCATGACGATACAAACCACAATTTGTAGAAACCGCGAAAACATTAGAGAAGATCGGAAAATTTAATGCAGACAGGCATTTGGGTGCTTGTCGATCGGCCACGAGCTTTGGTGCGATCGACCGTAAACGTGCACGACTACATGGTGTTTTTCGGTTTTCTGACTGGTCGATCACGGCGTCAAGTGCGGTCGCCCGTAGACCCTGTAATTGATTTACATGGTTTCTGTCGTTCTGTCCGGTCGACCGTAGCGTCAAGTGCGGTCGACCTCGAGTCGGGTTCGGGTCTGTTTTGGTTTCCTGTTCTGTTTGGGATTTGTATTTGGTATAAATACCAACACACGTTTTAGGGGTTCTTTGGGATTGTTTTGGGGTTATTGGAGCACAGAAAAGAGAAATCTTTCTGAGCTATTGGTTAGGGTTATTGTTTGAGAGATTGAGAGCTTTGTTGGTGAGATTAGTTGGTTTGTTTTGAGTGTTTTGTAATCTCAGTTTGTACTCTCCTTCTCTATTAGTGAAAACTCATCCCCTTCTTGCACCGTGGACGTAGGCAACTTGCCGAACCACGTAAAAATTGGTTGTTTGTGTTTGTACTGTTTATTTTGGTTTGTTTGGTCTTCTCTCTCGACGTTTGGTTTAGTTCCTCGAAGCGCGCACAACAAGTGGTGTTAGAGCTTGGGCTACGCTTGGGTTAGTTGGATGAGTAGATCACTTTGGAAAGTTCATCTAGAGCTTCAGTTGGTGATAAAGATGATATTTTTACTATTATGGATCTTGTCTAGTGTAGGGGTGAGATCTTTCGGAGGCTCTTGTTAGGGTTTCAGTTGGAGGTAAAAATCTCTCTTTTTTAGTTTGGATCTATTCTTCATTTGTTCCGCATTGGTTTGTTAGTGTTTTAAGAAAGATGACCGAGAAAGAAGGAGTTATGGAGGATACTTCCGGCGTGAAGACCGTCTAAAGTTTGAATATCCACTCTATAAAGATAGACGTGAAGAGGTTTAACGGCACTAACAATTTTTGTCTTTGTAGATGTGAAGTCTTGGATGCGCTCAACGCGCAAAATTTAGAAGATACATTGGAGTTAGACGAGAAACCAGATGACATTGAGGAAAAGGTTTGGAAGAAGATGAATCGAACGGCGTGTGGTGCGATTAGATCTTGTTTAACTCAAAGTTTGAAATATGATGTGATCAATGAGAGTTCAACAAAGAAGATTTGGGAGATCCTTTAGAGTAAGTATTTGATCAAGAGTATGAAAAATTACTTGTATTTGAAGAGGAGGCTTTACCGCTTCCAATTGAAGAAAGGAACCTCCATTGCTGATCACATGAACCACTACACGAAGCTTCTTGCGGATTTGGCGAATGTAGATGTTATGGTTGAAGATGAGGACAAGACATTGCTGTTGTTGAGTTCCTTGCCTGATGAGGAATATGAGACCTTTGTCCTTACTCTGATTAATGGGAAAGCATCTCTTTCATATAGTGAGGTCACCGTTACACTTTGTGAGTTATCAGCTTTGGAAGAAGGATAAGGAGACTTCAATTGAGCCGGTAGCGGGGACATTGGTCGCAAGAGCAAAGAGTCCAAACCGAAATAGGAGGTTGCAGTCTAGAGGGGCACATCCTGGAATCCGTAAGAATCAGTGTGCCTTTTATAAAGAGGATGGACATTGAAAAACCGAATGCCCAAAGTTGGTTGATTGAGCCGGGAAGAATAAGAGGAAAGCTACTCAAGCTTCAGAGGTGAATGTTGCCAAGGCTAGTGGCAAAAATTCAAATTTAGATTCTTCAGGCTATTTGTGCCCTACACTACCGTCAGTTGTATTGCCGACTTTACAGAGTGGATGTTGGCTTCAGGTGCTTTTTATCATATTTTTCCTAGGAGGGATTAGTTCTCCAGCTTTCAGGAGTTAGAAAGAGGGGATATCGTGCTCATGGGTAATGATCATGAATGTTCTATTAGTGGTATCAGTACCATTCGTATTAGGATGTGTGACGGGATGATTCGGGAGTTGGATGAAGTGAGGTTCGTTCCGCAGTTGAAGAAGAACATCATTTCACTTGGAGTTTTGGAGGTAGCAAGCTATCGGGTGACCTTAAATGATATATCTTTGAAGGTCATATTTGGGTCCATGATTGTGATGAAGGATGTCAGGTGGAAGAATTTGTACTATTTGATTGGGAGCACGATGATTGATAGAAAGCTAACGACCTCTTAGGATTTGGCTAGACTGTAGCATTTGTTGAGGCTGGGTTATTCGATTATTGGTATTGTGCATGGATTGTTGAGGAGTACTTTGACTTGCAGATTGAAGTCCTATGAGCACATTGGTATGAGCAAGAAGACCGAGGTAGAGTTTGACACTTCTATCTATCGATCGAGGGGTCTTTTAGGTGGTGTTCATTCAGGTATTTAGGGGTCTTCCAAGAAGGCATCATTGGGAGGTAATAGATATTTGGTTTTCTTTGTTGATGACTGTTCTAGGCATGTTTGGGTTGCAACCAAGTCCCGTTAGTATGAAATCCTAGAAGTCAACAACAGGTGGAGAAAGTATATTGGAAGAAAGGTAACACGAAGTTCTATTTTTGGTAGGGGTTCTTTTCTGCATTTGTGCCGAGCTCATGATAGTCTGAGACACTTTATTGGAGAGGAAACATTAGGGCGATGAGATGAGATGACAGTTTTGATGGGTCGTTCCTTACTGGAGGATGATCGACGTTTGATGTCGAGCATTGGTTTTAGTGTTCGGGCTTCGACATATTTGGGTCATCTTAGTCATAGGTTGCCGACTGCTGCGTTTAGAGATTTTAGATCTGGTGGTGCTACTTTAGATATTGGGTTACTTCGGATGTTTGGTTGCCCAGCATATAGTCACATCGAGGATGTGAGATTTGATCCGAGTGCACATTTAGGATTCAGAGGCTTGTTTGGTTATCAGGTGAGGGTCTCTGATTTTGTTCTGAGCAGATATGTCACATTTGACTCTCGACAAGTAGAGAATGTTGATCAGATCGTTGGGATATCATAGCGGGTGGAGGATGATGCTACTCCACGTTGGGTGGAGATTACTCTACACACTCTAGATCATACTATATTGTTTGGGATTCCAGCTGAGGTGACACGGTTTGGGGATCATATTGATGCAGATGTAGATGATAAGTTTGTTGATTCAAGTACAGTTGATAGACATAGTTTGGATTTGGATATGGCTGTTGGTTCACCTCAGGTGGAGGTGTTTAGTTTGTTTCACTTTGGGGCCATTTGGAGAGCTATCAGTCGCAGATTTGTTGGTGAAGAGTTAAAAACTCTTCTATTGGATTGAGGGCCTTTGGAGACCATTTGGGGAACTATGTGAAGGCTTGATTCCTTAGGCAAGAGGATACATATGCAGTCATTTTATGATGCAGCCGATTTGGTGAGTTTATACCGACTTTTGGAAAGTGATCACATTCTCATTTGGGTCTCGACTTGTTATGGATTGAGTCCATTATCGTGGATTTGTTTCACTTCGTACTAAACGTAACAAGTAGAACATTTGGTTTGGTTGGTGTCGGCTCAGTTTTGGTAAAACTTCACCAAGGTGGAGAATTGTAGAAATGGCAAAAACATTAGAGAAAATCAGGAAATTTGATGCAGACAAACATTTGGGTGCTTGCTAGTCGACCGCGAACTTTGGCGCGGTAGACTGCAAACGTGCACGACTACAGGGTGTTTTTCGGTTTTCTGGCCGGTCGACCACGATGTCAAGTGCGGTCGACCGCGGACCCTGTAATCGATTTATGTGGTTTCTATCGTTCTGTCCGGTCGACCGCGGCGTCAAGTGCGGTCGACCTCGAGTCGGGTTCGGGTCTGTTTTGGTTTCCTATACTGTTTGGGATTTGTGTTTAGTATAAATACCAACACACATTTTAGGGGTTCTTTGGGATTGTTTTGGGGTTATTAGAGCAAAGAAAAGAGAGATCTTTTTGAGCTATAGGTTAGGATTATTGTTTGAGAGATTGAGAGCTTTGTTGGTGAGATTAGTTGGTTTATTTTGAGTGTTTTATAATCTTAGTTTGTACTCTCCTTCTCTATTAGTGAAAACTCATCCCCTTCTTTCCCCTTGGACGTAGGCAACTTGCCGAACCACGAAAAATTGGTTGTTTGTGTTTGTGCTGTTATTTTGGTTTTTTTGGTCTTCTCTCTCGACGTTTGGTTTGGTTCCTCAAAGCACAATGATTGGTGGCTTCTGTACACAACACAATTAATTCCAACAAGTCATCCGTCCCTTAAGTTAGTATTATTTTATTTATCTGTTACTATTATATTTATGAAAAATCATACTTTTGATTCTTCTATGTGAGTCAAGATCCTAAAAAAATCAACATATATTAAATTGTACATCGAAATGTAGTAGAAGGACAAAACTAAAAAGATCTAAAAACATCATAACTACTATTCACTTCTTGGTAATTCTCCTATGACCCACAGTTTCTAATATTAAGAACTTTATATTGTTTTAGCAATAAGTTTCTAAAAATCATTTCATATTAGTATTGATTATTAAAGTGTTACAAATATTTTTTAACACATATTTAATATGTAATGTGTTAATATGAAAATCCTAAAGAGATCATCAACTCTCTCTTGGATGTTATTTATAGTGTTTAGAGAAACAAAAGAATTTGTCCGTAGCCAATAAGAGACTAAACAACTTGGAATAAACAACTCTCTCAACACTCCCCCTTAAGCTGAACATACATATCGTACATGCCCAGCTTGTTACAAATAAAATTCACTCATGCTCAACCAAGAAATTCCTTCATGTCTTGCTT